TTGTCACTTTAAGTTGAAAAAACTCCCTTATACCCCTCCTTCCGGGGTGTAGGAAAAAGAAGGCGTGACAGCTCTGGCGACTCTGATGGGGAAGATAACCCATAACTTTCGTTCAGGGTTCGAAAATTCGAGCTTGGAATAATTGTTATATTTGGCTTTTAATTATTATCTGATTTTTATTACATGTTTGAACCTAATGTGCTAAATGTTGCTTTTTACCGCTTTGATATTGCTGAATTGTATATAAATTGTTACGAATCCCTTCTTCTCTCTGACTATTCTAAATCATCTGGGAAGTGTGCACTTCGTGTGATTCTTTTCTGTTAGAGTCATTCCAATTTTAGAACGAGGTTCAGACAAGTTGCAAAGCCGGTGAAGCTTCTGTATTCCCGGTACGCTGACCCCCCTCCCCCGGCTCGAGCTGTCCGCTCAGGTAAGCCAGGTTTAGAACAATAAACCCAGGTTTTAAACCTAGTATAACAAAGCCACATGCCGGATCGCTAGTAGGAAGGTTTATTTGCATCACGTGCATTTGACTTTGGAGGCTCAACACAGGGGTTGGGTCTGTCTAGGACAGGTATACCAAAAATGAAAAGACCATCATGATGCATCTTACTTGCTACCTGTGCATTTATTTGCCTCGGATTTACATGTTGACCGGCTTTTTAATAATTAAGAGGAGAATTGAAAAAAAAAGTCAATGTGAGGACTTAGAGAGATAATTACTCATTTTGAAAAAATAGTGTCCAAAAAGATAGTGAAACTCTGCCAAAATTCTGACAAAAATTTCTTTTGAAAAATAGTTGTTTTTGTTTTTTAATTTCGTCAAGTTTGGCAGAACTACATAAGTTTGATTCTCACCGGATGTGGGATACGTAGGCAACCCACATCGGGTCCAACTATTTTTGAAAAATAAAGAAAGAAAATAAATATAAAAAAAATAATCAAAAAAATATGCGTACATAAAATGTCGTTGTTTTGCCATAAGTAAGGCGATGCCATTCTTGTTCAAAATTTGCCGAATGTCCCCAAAAGGGCGACGGAAGGCCGTTGTTGCAAGAACAACCGCCTTTGGTCATTTCTCAAAGCTTTTGGTCGGTTAGCAAACACAGCCTTTAAATCTTCTTCATCGAAGTGCTGAAAGGCCGCATTGACAAAGCAAGATACTTTTATGAAAATTTTGAAAATAGTGATAACTTTTTTGAGTCAAAATGAGTCTGGATTTTTCTTTATATTAAAATCACCCAAATAAATGTGCAGGATGAGCACAGATGAAAATGACCCTTTTCAGCTCTTAAAGAGATCCCCTTACAGCTCCACATGTGGTGGAACGATTTAGGGAAAGACAATAGAGAAACTGTAGTCAAAGTTTTGGGTGGCCTTACCGGACTTTTGAATATCAAGCCAAGATTGGACGTGATTGAGGCCCTGATACCTTTTTGGGATCCCACTCGCAATGTGTTCCGTTTTTCTGACTTCGAGTTCACACCCACTCTAGAGGAAATTGCGGGTTACGCCGGCCTCAGTGGAAACCTTAGAAGTCTTTACCCAGTATCACCAAGACCGGTATCTCCACACAAATTTCTCGACATGTTGAGTATTAGCCGAGACGTTCAGGATAGGAATTTATCTAAAGGATGTTGCCCTTTCCAGTTCTTGTATCATCAGTATGGTAACCCCAAAGGCTTCGAAGCACCAAACACTGGTTTGACTCATGCCGGAAATAAAGATAAGTGGGAGGCAAGGCGAGGTTTAGTTTTTATAGTAGCATTCTTAGGTACTGTAATCTGTCCACGAGACGACGGCCACATAGAACTGGGCCTCGTAGGAATGCTTGATTTTGCAATCAAGAGAGCTAATGGTACCTTGGTTCCCCTAATCTTGTCTGAGATTTACCGATCTTTGACCATTTGTCGGGAAGGGGGAAAATTCTTCCAAGGCTGCAACTTAATACTACAATTGTGGATACAGGAGCATCTCTGCCACCGTGTTGGATACATGAACCACGGTTTGGCCGGTTTGAAATGCATCGACGAATTTGAAAGCCGAATGGTGGGTATTATTTTTCCTGAGGGTGTTGAGGCTTGGTTTGCACTCTTGAATTCTTAGACTACCGATAAAATTGAATGGGCGTTTGGATGGCTTTTTGTCACCGAAGCAGTATACATGTCAGCTGAGGTGTGTTACCTCCTCCTTATGGGCATCCGGAGCATCCAGCCGTATGCTCCTCACAGAGTGTTGCGTTAACTGGGCAGATTTCAAACCATTCCCCGCGACAAAGATTTGAGTAAACATGTCATAGAATTGGGCCCCAAGGCCACATTTCCGGAAGGAAGGGTTCGCCAGGTGTGGAATCAATGCAGGTTCCTAGAACCTAAGACCATGGTTCGGGATTTAGCCAGAGGTGAGGTAAACCCCAAGTACGCTATTTGGTTCAGCAAAAGTTTTCAGTTTCCCGAGAGACCTGCTAAGAGAGCTCATGTCCAACAATTCACCAACGACTCACAAGAGCAATGGGGTTGGTTAGCAAAAGAAGAAAGCTATAGGGCTAAAATAAGTAAGTTAGAAGGACAAATCAGGGACCTCAAGTTCGGCAACAGTATCCAGGCGGCTGCAGATAAAGGTGAAAGAAAAAAGCTAACTCAGGAAAATGAGGCCCTCAAAGCGCAAATCCAGAAAATGAGAGTAGCTTCTAGAAATCTGGAAAGAAGCTGCGCGGATGAAAGGCTTATAGACGGTCAGAGAAAGAAAGCCTATGAGTGTCAAGATGACCTAGAAAAGTCTAAGGCCAGTCTAGCAAAAATCCGGATTCAATTGGAAGGGCGGGCACGGTCTGTGCAACAAATGAAAAGGAATTATGAAGGGACAATCACCAATCTGAAGTGAAAAGTAACTACCCTCGAGAATGAGATGGCCAAGCAAGCCTGAGACTTTAAAGCTGATAGGGAACACTATTATGATTTGATGGCTCGGATGGAGGAAGAAATGCAACAGTTGGAAAAACCAAAACCATCACGACACTCAGGTGTTGAAAGCCCGGAATCAGCAGGTCGGGCGTTTGCTTCAGGAAAGGGTAGAATCCGAGAGAGGACCAGAGCCATTGCTGACTACATTGTTGTGAAATGCCAAGCGTGCGAGGACATGACTCGTACCACTTTCTTCGCTGCAGTGATGACGTTCGTTCGCCAGATAATGAGTGATTTGGAGCGATTGCAGGGGGATCTCGCATATAGGCCCGTGACAAGACCGAACGATGTCCCACGGGCCCCAGGACATTTGAAGCATTAATGTATTCATGATTTTTTGAATTTGTATTTTCTTTCTATTGGAGTCTGTCAGTTTGTTTTCAAGTCTGTATTTTTCAGTTGGAGTCTGTTAGTCTATTTTTTAGGCTGTATTGTCACCTTGCTGTTAGAGTCTTTTAGAGTCTGTTAGTTTTGTGACAAAATGTGTCATTGTAATAAACGCATTTTCCTTTTATGAAAAATTCAAAAATTCCAAAACATTTTATTTTTACACTTATCCACCAGAACTACGCAAAGATCTGATTCATGCGGGGTCATGATACATAGGCAATCTCCATAAGATTCGATCATAACCAAAAGAAAGAGAAATAAAATGAAAAAATGGGGAAAATGAGAGAATAAAAACGACGAGGGGTTAATCAAAGAAAGGCATAAGTGAAAATTAAAGGAGAGGTCATAAATAGGAAAAGCCGGAATGACACAAGCAACCGAGCAAATACATGATAGAAATGATTAAATTGCTTAGGTGCATTGCATTCCACAAATGTGCGGTAGCCTATCTGTTAAGCTCTAATCACTAACAAGTTTGTTGTTGATGAATCCAGAATTTAGGTAGTTGTTAGTTTACTTAGCATACTGGCAACCCATCCATACAACACCAAGTCCAAGGGCGAATTGATCATGTCTAACCAGGAACTTGATGCGAGTGTCATCGATCCTTCGAGAGAGGTGGAAGAGTTGGATGTTAATGCAATGAAACAAGAGATGTATAAGTTGAAACAACAGATGGCCGTAATGTACCAGGCCTGGGCAAAAGGGCAACCACCACCAGCTTACCCCGCTAACCCTGCCTTCATCCCACCATTGACTTAATCCCAGGAGCCTCCCACTTCCGACTCATCTCCGGGCTTTCCCATTTATAACCACTACCAGAGCACCACTTCTCACACACCACAAGCTCCACCACCCAAACCAGTTCCATACCCTCCTCCACCAGTCACTCCTGTCTTCGTAGCATCCCCACCCGCTACACTTCACCGATCTTCCAGTGAGCCTGTGTTCCAAGCCCAGGATAACCAATACTACCCCCCAGAGTCCACTTTCAAAGCTCCAGAAGCTTATACTCCTCGTTTTGATCTCCCTATGGAAGCTGAGAAACCATCCAAAAATCCCGAACATGAGGAGATGTTCAGAAAAGTTAAAAGCTTAGAACAGTCATTCAGAGACATGCGGGGGTTGGGAGGTCAAGTAAGTGTGGCTTACAAAGACCTATGTCTATTTCCAAATGTGCAATTCCCGCCGGGGTTTAAGATGTCCAAGTTTGATTTGTACGATGGGCACGGTGATCCAGTAGCGCACTTAAGAGGATTTTGTAGCAAAATGAGGGGAGCTGGAGGGAAAGATGAATTGCTAATGGCATATTTCAATCAAAGTCTGAGTGGATCGGCACAGGAGTAGTACACCCGACAGGATCACGGAAGGTGGTATACCTGGGATGATCTAGCCCAGGCATTTGCTTGTCACTTCCAATACAATCTCGAGATCATTCCGGATCGACAGTCCTTGACAAAGCTGGAGAAAACGCACAGTGAAAGTTTCAGAGAGTATGGTTTCCGTTGGAGAGAGCAGGCAGCAAGAGTGGACCCTCCGATGAAAGAAAGTGATATGGTGGATTATTTTCTACAGGCCTTAGAACCTACTTAATATGGCCATCTGGTATAAGCTGTAGGAAAATCCTTCAATGAAGTAGTGAAGATGGGAGGTATGGTAGAAGAGGGGCTCAAGTCGAATAAAATCACGAGCTATTCGGCTATTAAGGCAACCACCCAGGCTATTCAGGGTGGCACTGAAGGAATGATCGGAAAGAAAAAGAGAGAGGATGTGGCGACGATTGATTCAGGAACCTGGTTCAGACCCAGAGGCTCATCTCACCACTATAATCAGCCTCGACCCCACCACAAAACTTACCCTCACACCCAGTATAATCCACCCCAACACTACTACCCACCACTGGACGCTCATTTTTCTGTCCACCATGCACAAACATACAACCAACCCCCAGCCCATGGACAATGGCATGCGCCCATTCCGCAAAACATTTACCCACCCCCACGAGCCTACCGAAACCCTCCTGGACCAGGTTTCTGGCCCAACCAAGCATTTAAGAGTGAGAGGTTGCAGAAAAAGAAAACCTTTACTCCACTTGGAGAGTCATATACCAGTTTATTCCACAGGCTAAGACAGTTGGATATGCTAAGGCCGATCGAGTCGAAACTGCCAAATCCTCCCCCGAAAAATTTGGATTATTCTGTAAGCTGCGAATACTGTTCTGGTACTCCGGGTCATGACACGGAGAAGTGCTGGCACCTAAAATGTGCTATCCAGGAGCTTATTGATACCAATCGTATTGAAGTTCAAGCTCCCGAGACGCCCAATATCAATCGGAATCCGATGCCAGCCCACCAGAAGACAAATATGATTGAAATAGTGCATAAGGGAGGGGAGCCTAAGAAGCCGTCACAAACACTCATGATGATTTGGTCCAGTGAGTTCAAGACAATTGAACACTCAACAAGTGAGAGATCAGTGCTCAAATCGAGTGAGAGGAGTAGTGAACCGTCTGTGGCAGTAAAGAAGGGGTCTTCAAGTGATGTTGCAGAAAAACAAGAAAGGGTGAAAGTGGTTGTACTAGGAGTGGCAAGCAAACCTGTCGTAATCGTAGAGGGTGCACACAAAGATCATGTCATTATCAAGCCGGTATCCCAGTTACCGATAGTCGACAGCAGGGCTATTCCATGGAATTATAAACGGGTGACAGTGACTTACAAAGGAAAAGAAGTAAAAGAAGAAGTCTGTGAAACACATGGTTTGACTCGATCAGGAAGATGTTTTGCCCCCGAGGAGTTAAGAGAAGTTAAAGCCTCCAAAGATAACCCAGTGTTAGTGAAGAATGCTATAACTGAAAAAGAGACAGAAGAATTCTTGAGAAAGATGAAGGTGCAGGACTATTCTATCGTGGAACAATTAAGAAAGACGCCTGCTCAAATTTTGCTATTGTCATTATTGATCAACTCAAACGAGCACTGTCGAGCTTTAATGAAAATCTTAAATAAGGCTCACGTTCCCGATAAAATCTCTGTGAACCATCTGGAAAAGATAGCCAACAAGATCTTTGAAGTGAACAAAGTCACTTTTTCCGATGATGAATTGCCCGTAGAGGGTACTGAGCATAACAGAGCCCTTTACCTTACGGTGAAATGTGAGAACTCCATGGTTACCCGGGTATTGGTCGATAATGGTTCCAGCGCGAACATTTGCCCTCTCTCCACTCTGAGCAAGTTGAAAGTGGAATAAGAATAGTATATGTGTGCGGGGATTCGATGGAGGAGGCAAAGATTCAGTTGGTGATATAGTGCTAGAGCTGATGATAGGGCCAGTTGAGTTCACAATGGAGTTCCAGGTGCTGGATATAGCTGTTCCCTACGATCTGCTGTTAGGTCGACCATGGATTCACGCAGCTAAAGCAGTCCCATCAACACTACACCAGATGGTCAAATTTGAATGGATTAGACAGGAAATAGTTGTACACAGCGAAGATAATTTGTGCGCTCACAACGATGTTCATTGTACCGTTCATTGCAGTGGAAGATGACAAGGGGCCGTGGGTCTACCAGGTTTTTGACACGATGTTGGTCGAGAAAGTTCCAGAGGGGAAATACATTCCAAATCCGAAGATAACTGCCGAAAAATCAGTCATGGTGGCCTTTGAAATGTTAAAGAATGATTTTGTACCAGGCAAGGGTTTGGGTTCATCTCTGCAGGGCATCATACAGCCGGTGTCCCTCCCCGAAAACTTGGGAACATTTGGTCTGGGATTCAAGCCCACAGTCGCAGACATAAAACGAGCCAGAAAGTTGAAACAGAGGGCATGGGTCCTTCCAAAGCTGGTCCCACGTCTCTCCAAATCATTTGTTAAGCCCGGTACCAGAAGTCGCCCAGTAACAACAATTCCCGGTTCTATGATTAATCTTGATAAAGATTTGATTGAAAGATTCGAGAAGTTGTTCGACGGTGTGAACATGGTGGAAAATGGGGAAGGTTCTAGCGACACAGAAATACAATTTGTCGGGCCAAAAACGAAGCTAAATAATTTGAAGGCTACTCCTCTCCCCACTCCGAAGGAGTCTTGGTAGTTTGCTTTGATTTTCCTTCAGTTTGTCTGGATTATTTCAGGGTTCTAATCCAGATTTTTATTTTTCAGTCTGTTTGAGTGTGCAAACCTTGTTATCTTTTATCCTTCAATGAAATACAATTTCCCTTCTTCATCATTCCTGATAGTTTCCTTTTTTGTTTTTCTTTTCTTTTCTGTACAGTTCTTTTTATGCTGGTTCTAATGACATGGTATGCATGAGGAATCCTCAGCCCAGTCTTAAAAATCAATATGATTATGAAATAATAGTTCAAGAAGTAGATGGTGATTACGAATCAGAATATGATGAGGATGAAGCCTTCAAAGAGATTAGTGAGGAACTAAATCACTTTGAAGGAAAACCCAAACCCAACATGAATGATACAAAAGCCATCAATTTAGGGGACACAGATAACATCAGAGAAACTAAAATAAACGTCCATCTTGAACCGAAGATCAGGGAAGAAATAATCAAAGCACTAATTGAATACAAAGATATTTTTGCATTGTCATATGATGACATGCCGGGTTTAAGCACTGATTTGGTGGTCCACAAATTACCCACTGACTCGGCATTCCCTCCCGTCAAGCAAAAATTGAGGAAATTCAAAACTGATATGAGTGTGAAGATTAAGGAAGAAATCACCAAGCAGTTAGATGCAAAGGTTATTCGGGTCACTCGATATCCTGTTTGGTTAGCTAATGTTGTGCCAGTACTGAAGAAGGACGGCAAGATCAGAGTATGCGTTGATTACCGCAGTCTCAACAAAGCAAGTCCAAAGGATAACTTCCCACTACCTAATATCCACAGTTTGATCGATAATTGTGCCAAACGTGAGATTGGATTTTGTGGATTGCTATGCAGGGTATCATCAGATTTTAATGGATGAGGAAGATGCGGAAAAGACAACATTCATCACGCCTTCGGGAACTTATTGCTACCGGGTAATGCCATTTGGCTTGAAGAACGCTGGGGCAACTTACATAAGGGCAATGGCTACTGTGTTTCACGATATGATTCACAAGGAAATTGAGGTTTACGTGGATATGTGATCATAAAATCAAAGCAGCAGGCCGACCACGTCGGAGATTTGAGGAAATTCTTCCAGAGACTTCGCAGGTACAACCTCAAGCTTAATCCCGCCAAGTGCGCATTAGGCGTTCCATCCGGAAAGCTGTTGGGATTAATAGTCAGTTGTCGAGGCATTGAGTTGGACCCATCAAAGATCAAAGCTATCCAAGAGTTTCCACCTCCGAGGAACAAGACTGGGGTGATGAGTCTGATAAGGAGGTTGAACTACATCAGCAGATTTATTGCTCAGCTCACGACGACTTGTGAGCCTATTTTCAAGTTGGTGAAGAAGGATGTTGCGGTCGAATGGACTAATGAGTGTCAAGAAGCATTTGATAAGATAAAAGGGTACTTGTCAAACCCACCTGTATTGGTCCCACCGGAACCAGGGAGACCTTTGATTCTTTACTTGACAGTCCTGGACAATTCATTTGGTTGTGTATGGGGTCAGCATGACATCAATGGCTAGAAGGAACAAGCCATCTACTATCTTAGCAAGAAGTTCACGGCTTATGAGGTTAAGTACACTCACCTTGAGAGGACATGTTGCGCCCTAACTTGGGTAGCACAGAAATTGAAACATTATTTGTCATCCTACACTACTTACCTCATTTCTCGCTTGGATCCATTGAAGTATATTTTTCAAAAGCCTATGCCCACAGGGAGACTTGCGAAGTGGCAGATTTTGCTCACAGAGTTTGACGTCGTCTATGTGACTCGGACCGCGATGAAAGCCCAAGCGGTGGCCGATCATTTAGCTGAAAACCCGGTCGATGAAGAGTACGAGCCATTGAGGACTTATTTTCCCGATGAAGAGGTGATGCATATTGATGAACTGGAGCAGACTGAAAAACCAGGGTGGAAGCTTTTCTTTGATGGGGCTGCTAACATGAAAGGAGTTGGAATAGGGGACGTGCTTATGTCAGAAACAGGGCATCACTATCCTGTTAGGGCTCAGCTTCGTTTCTATTGTACCAACAATATGGCTGAGTACAAGGCATGCATTTTGGGTTTAAGGCTAGTTGCAGACATGGATGTCCAGAAAGTTTTGGTCTTGGGTGACTCGGACCTTCTGGTGCATCAAATTCAAGGAGAATAGGAAACACGGGATTTGAAGCTCATACCGTACCGACAATGTTTGCATGATCTTTGCCAACGGTTTCGATCAGTGGAGTTCAAGCATATTCCTAGGGTCCATAATGAGGTTGCCGATGCTTTGGCTACCTTGGCATCGATGTTGCACCATCCGGACAAAGCTTATGTCGATCCTCTGCATATTCAAGTCCGCGATCAACATGCTTACTGTAACATGGTGGAAGAAGAACTTGATGGCGAACCATGGTTCCACGATGTCAAGGAGTACATCAGAATGGGGATATATCCGGTGCAAGCCACAAGAGATCAAAAGAGAACAATTCGACGGTTGGTAAGTGGATTTTTCTTCAGTGGATGAGTTTTATATAAAAGAACACCAGACCTTGGATTGTTGAGATGCATAGATGCTAGACAAGCCACAACTGTCATGACCGAAGTACATTCCAGAGTCTGCGGACCACACATGAGTGGGTACGTGCTGGCGAAGAAAATTCTCCGAGCAGGTTATTACTGGCTCACCATGGAGCGAGATTGTATCAGTTTTGTGCGCAAATGTCATCAGTGCCAAATACGTGGAGATTTAATTCATTCTCCACCATCGGAATTGCACACAATGTCGGCACCATGGCCCTTTGTTGCTTGGGGCATGGATGTCATTGGACCAATTGAGCCAGCAGCATCCAACGGGCATAGGTTCATTCTGGTGGCCATTGATTATTTCACCAAGTGGGTTGAGGCTAAAACTTTCAAGTCTGTGACCAAGAAAGCAGTGGTCGATTTTGATCGCTCAAATATCATCTGTGGATTTGGGATCCCAAAGGTAATTTGTCACGCCCCAAAACCGAGGGGCGCGACCGGCACTCGACCGAGTCAAGCGGACCTGGGTGCCTTTCCTAACCCTCGTGTTACCCCCGTGATTTAAATACCCATCATTCAAGTGAAATAGCCGTTCATGATTAAACACATTCTTACGAAATATACATAACATACATGCTTACTTTACGTGGTCTACAAGTTATACTGCCCAAATACAAAATACATAAGTACATAACCCACATTTCCTGTCTATGGAGCCTCTAGGGATACAAAAGAGTTTTACAATATTTGCCGGTAACAAGGCTCCGGCTATACCTTACACAAATACAAAAATAAGACTCCGGGAAGAAAAGCGGCATGAGCCACGCAGGGCCCCGAGAGGAAAGGGGCTCACCAATACAGCTGACGGAAAGATGGAGGAGGTGCTACTGTCGGTGGACTGGAGTGCCTGCTATAGAACCACCTACAATCATAACAAGAATGTAGCGCCACCGGCAAAAGGGACGTCAGTACATTTGAATTGTACTGGTATGTATGAACAAACATTACCCCAAGTAAAATCAATCAGTACACAGACAACAAACAGTAATAGAATTAACAATCAAATGCACATGAAAGGAACAACCAAAGCCAACAAGTTTCACAATCTCTCCTTTTCCCCTTTCAACATCATTTCATACTCAAGAGTTTCATAAATTTTCATTTCAATAGTGAATATGATCACTTTTCCACCCTTATTACCTCGGCCACCCTTATTACCTCGGCCACCCTTATCACCATAACCCACACCTTATAACTTCGTGTTGCGGCGCGCAACCCGATCCCACCGGACATTCACATTTAACACAACAACAGTAGTTCGAAGTTCAACCACATGGCTTCAGGCCATCCCAAATATCATTTCACAGCAACAATAACAACTTAAGTCACAACGATAATTGTCCACGATAAGACACACATGATGTTACCACAGTTGTTTCAATTGCATCAATCACGACTTCCTTCCATCATTTATTTCACAGCCCTTACCACATAACACATTCACACACACACTTGGTTTGTTGCCATTTATTTATACCGTCATATCGGAACGTTAACCAACAATGTTCAAGGCAATTTAGTCACAGGATTCATGAAATAGGCCATCTTGCCCTAGCACCCGCGAAGCAAACAAAATTCACA